CCTATCTGGCTATGAGGACACTATCGTAGCCCTTCAGCATTGGGGTCCCTATCTGGCTGTGAGGACACTGCCGTAGCCCTTCAGCATTGGGGTCCTCATCTACCTGGGTCTGGCACCTCTCCTGCCGAATCCATCCTGCCCTCCCCTTCTCCCTCACTGCCACTCCCAGCTTTTGCTTGGTGTTGTCACAGGTGACCTTCCCGGGCCCTGTCATGGGTGGTCTTTGCTTTCTTTCCACTTCTTGGGAATCTGGTACTTTTGAGGTGGTGGGGGCTGGTGTTCTGATGGGGGAGTAAGCCAGGTGCTCTGGCCGCACTTTCTCTCCTTCTGCTCAGGTCTCTGAGCTGAAAGCGCCTGTCAGCCATGGGGCACCTGTTGACTCGCCTAGAGAACTCAGCAGGGCCCCCCTTCCACTATTGTGACACCAGGCAGCTGGACCAGGAAAAAGGGCCCTGCAGCTCCCCTTTAAAGGAAATTGAGGTGTGACAGGGAGGACTGTGGAGGTTTTGCAGCTTATGACCTTGAGCTCTGAGAGCAGGTGGCAGGTGGCTACCACTGCAGGCCTGCAAGGTCATTGCTCTGTGCAGGCCAGCTGGCCACACTGCCACCACGCCACCCCCACAGGCTCAGAGGGCATGAGACATGATAAACTCCCCAGGGTATGTGATGGGGGTGGAGGTGATTCTATTGGCCCAAAGCCTCTGGGGTCCCAGCCGTTAGAGCCAGGTGGGGTCCACTTCTACACTGTCTTTGTGAATGGTGATCAGTTCCTGTCTGCGTCCATTTTGTGCTGACCGCCACAGACCGGGCAATTTGCAATGAACAGAAATTACTCTGCTAGTGGTTCCAGAGCCAACGCTGCTCTGACAGTTCCACCACCTTCCACTATTCCCCTTGGCCCCACTGACCCTGCCCAACAGCACTGGGTGCCTCCTGCCCTGGGGTTTCAGTGGCCCACTTACTCCGGGAGAAAGTTTTGCTCCCAGCAGAGTTTACAGGCCAAACTTCACCGTGGTTCTTTTCACCCATGAGGGCCTCCAAGGAGACTCTGATTTTTGAACTTTATCAGAAAAGTAGAATCTTATAAAAGCACCCCAGATAAAAGCTCTGATTAGCCTCTCACTGTTCACTCTGGGAGGCCCCCGGCAGTGAGGCCTTTGATCTGTCTAAATGGGCTTCATTCAAACAGAAAATTAAATGATCTAGAACAATATCCTCCACTTGCTGGAGGCAGAGGGAGGGATCGATGCTTCCCGGCGCTCTGTGGGCCATGAGTGGCTTCCTGGTGGAGGGGAAGCCTGTCCTTCCCTTCAGTGCCCAGCATCAGCTCCGGTGACTCACAGCTCCTCAGGAAGGACAAGGACAAGGGGCTGGAATTCTCTGGGCACAGCCAGCAGCCTCACCCACACCTCTGCATCTCATGGGGCAGAGGGAGGCCTCGGGGTGCAGCACCAGTGAGAAAATGCACAGTCCAGTGAAGGAGCTCTGTCTCCCCACTGTGTCACGGGACTGACCTGTGGGCTGTGACCCGGAGGAGTCAGCAGACGCCTCCCGAGAGGTTCTGCTCCCTGCCTGGCTCCTAAGAAGGTGCACATCCCTGTGGGGTACTCACTCCGGGCAGGGCGGACAGTGAGAAGCACTGCAGGGAGATTTCCCGAGAGTGACAAATGTTCCTGACTCTAAATTCAACAAGCGAGCCCTGTGAGGGGCGTTACCCACTGTGTCCTAGAAGACGTCACCAAGATGCTCTCACAACTCCATTGGCCATTTTGAAAAAGTCACAAATACTCTGCTGCTGTGCAGCCTTGAGCCGGTGTCTGGGACAGTGATCTATGGCAAAGTGAACGCAGGAAGGTGACCCAGCGCCTTGGCTCGTGCCTGGTACTCGTGGACACTCCAGGGACTGTAAATGCCCTGGTCACTGAGCAGCTCAAGAACACAGCCCAGAGCCCCCCAGTGATGCAGCCATGGTTATTTCAGACTTAACCCAGGGGCAGCATAGAGAGCCCGGAGGCGGGACCAGCCCCCTTCAGCCTCAGCTGGCCAGATGCTAACAGCTCAGGGCTGTGGACTTGGTTCAGCACCTTAGTACCAAGCCAGGAACCAAAGGAAAGGGCTGGGGGCAGAGGCAACAATTGTCCTCCCGTAAAGATTCCCACCAAGGAAAGCCCAGAGTCTTATTCAAAAAAGCAAGTCTTACCAGCAAGCAGAAAGAGAGAAGAAAATTCTGACATATGCCACACACGACACAGGCGGACCCAGAGGACTGGCTGAGCCAGAAGCCAGTCACAGAAGGACCAACTCTTGTGATCCACCTACATGAGGTCCCAAAGGTGGACCAGGGCTGCTGGAGGCAGGGGAGGGGACGTGGGGTCAGTGCTTAAGAGGGACAGCCTCAGTTTTGCCAGATGAGAGTTCTGTGGCCAGGGGTGGTGACAGTCGGACAACACAAATGTCTTAAGGCCACTGTGCACCAATACATGGTTAAGATGGAGAATTTTGTGTGTATATTTTACCACAATAAGAAAAGTTTTGAAGAGAAGGGAGGGCAAGAGAAAATGGCGAATCTGAGATAGCCCCAAACCTGCGGAGCCTGACTGACTAGGCCCCAACAGGGGCACTGGGACACGCTCACACAGAGAAGGGACGCGGGGGGCAGCTCCCATACCTGGGGTGTGCTGGGCCGGGCCCATCTCGCAGCCTGGGAGCTTCGCAGCCCCAGACGACAGCTGACTGGGATCCACTGCTCGTTCCCGCAGAGTATGGCTGCCAGGGCTCATGGAGATGCCACCATGGAGGAAGAGGCCCTGAAGAGAAAGCTGGAGGAGCTGACCAGCAACATCAGCGACGAGGGAGCCTCATCTGAAGAAGAGGAGGGCGAGGACGGAGAGGCAGAGCCCGACAGGGGCCTCTCCACCAGAGCCCTCCCCTCGGTGAGCCTGGAGGTGAGGCCCCCCCTGGGGTCCCGGCAGGACCCGGCAGAGGCAGGGGAATGGGTGGACAATCCCACCAGCCAGAGATTTGTAAGCAAGCCACCACCCTCCCCAGGGCAGGAAGCCAGCACAAGGGTGACCAGCCACCGCTGACCATTTCCCTGAGTCCAGAACGGGAAGCAGCGTAAGGCCGAGTCTCCCTCCTACTAACCATCACCTGGCCCTCTCTCCTAGGTGTGCTCAGCTGCGGGCCACACGTACGGACTGAAAAAGAGCCCTCAGGGCCTCGGGGACCCTGTCCAGCTCAACAGGATCCCGGACAAGGAGCTGTCAGAGCTGGAGGACAGAGTGGCAGTGACAGCCTCAGAGGTGCAGCAGGCAGAGAGCGAGGTAACTCCCAGGGGCTGCGGGAGAACAGGGTTCCTCAAAGATAGATGGTGATGGTGGCCACCTACTGAGAGGCTCCCACAGAGCCCTCCCGTCAGCCCAGTGGAGGCCGAGCATGAGTGTGTTGGGTCCTGTGGGATCCACGCACCTCGGCCATGGCTAAGAGCTTGAGTCTGGGTGAGGGTCATGTCCACAGTGTACAGCGGTCACAGGACAGAACCCAAGTGTTCAGGCCTCCCAGAACAGCCAGGGCAAGCTGGGCACTGCTCTGTCCCACCCCCTCACGACCTGCCAAGAAGCGGGGGAGGCTCCGTCCCTCAGTCTACGGAACAGCCAGTCCCACGTTCCCATCAACAGGTGCCTGTCACTCCCCGAAAAGGAAGGGCCTCCCCAGAGCCGTTCCCATCCTGGAAGTGAGTCAGGGTCAGGGTCAGGGACTTTCATTCTTTATTCTCCCTGGCTCTGCAAAGCATTTTTAAATACCTTCAACGTGGCTGGCATCACGTGGGGCACAGAAGCTGTAGCTGTGAACCTCGGAGACCAGCCCCTGCCCTCATGGAGCTCGTGATTTTAGTGGAAGGAGACAGACAGCAAACAGACAGCCTCAGTTCCTTCCATGAACAGTGCTGGGTCCCCTAGAGAGCTTGAGGGAGGGGATACTAGGAAGAGAAGGCAGCAGGGCACATCTGGAGGACGGGGTGCAGGTGGAGGGAACAGCACCAAAGGCCGTGGGGTGGTCCCGAACCTGGTGTGTTCAGGGACCAGCAGCGAAACCCTGAGACTGGAGCAGATGACGAGGGGAGGGTCAAGAGGAGGGCAAGAGCCATGGAGAGAGAGATCTGGACACAGGGTAATGAAGCCCGCCTTCTGTTTCTAGAAGCTTCCTCTGGCCTCAGTGGGAGGAGTGGCCTGATGGGGAGGAGAGGAGGGCCAGGGCAAGGGTGGTGGCCATGGGACTGAGGTGGAGTGTTTGGGTAAAGAAAGGCTGGACAGTGGCCCTTGGAGCCTGGGGCACCCGTCCCCAGGCACCGCCTCCTTCAAGCACTGATGGGCCCCAGACTTCCTAATGTGCCTCCAGAAAATGCACAGAACCCCCTTCCTCCTGCCCGAGGGGACCCCCATGGAGCACCCACACATGGCCACAGATGGGCCTGTGGCTAGGACTCCAAGATTAAGAGAAAGACGGTGGCCTTATGGGTAAGTGGGCGGCAGCTGTTCTTCCTGTTCTGTGACCTTGAGAGGAGACAGAGCATGTCTGTCTGTCTGCTGTTCCCCCAGGTCTCAGACATCGAGTCCAGGATCGCAGCCCTGCGGGCCGCTGGGCTCACCGTGAAGCCATCAGGAAAGCCCCAGAGGAAGTCCAACCTCCCAGTGAGTGTGTGTCCCCAAGACATCCCCCGGAGCTCAGGTGGCCTGACAGCTGGAGCCCTGGGCCACCACCCCTCTTCCAGCCACGTAGCCCACTGTGGCTGTGCTGAGATTCTTGTTGGTATTTGTTGTTGTTTCTGATTGAGCAAAGCCACTTTTGAGGGGACTCTTGTCCCCTGATCTGAAACATAGTTTAAAACACCAAGGTGGTCGTATCGCATGTGGAAAGACTCAATGGGTTGCCTCTTAAAATGGGTATGCTAGACATCAGGTATGAGGGGACATCTCCAGGGACCTGCCCTCACATCAGAGACCCCAGGCCAACATCCTCCTCTCCTGATTCCATTCAGGAACCTTCAGACAAAACCACCCTGGTGAGGAAATTTGGCAAAAGAATAAAACACGTCCTTAGGAGAGTCCCAGATAGGGCCACTAGGTAGGATACACAGTGCCCGGCAAATTTGAATTTCAGATAACAAGTCATTTTCTAGTATAAGTATATCCCCATGTAATGTTTGGGATATACTTACACTAAAAATGCTATTTGTTGTCTATCTGAAATTTATACTTGACTGGGTGTCCTAAATTTTACTTTTCTAAGTCTGGCAGCCCTAGTGTCAGAGCCCTTGAGTGGCAGGGAGGGCCAGCGTGCTCTGAGCTCTCCCAACCAGCCTGGAACATCCAGCCTGGCGTCCAGCTGGCCTCTCTGACACTCCTCCCTGGGGCTGGAGGTTCAATAAGGCCATGAGAACATGAGCTTTCCCCTTGGCCTCCAGGTACTTCTTCCTCGAGTTGCTGGGAAACTTGACAAGAGTCCAGAGGATCCGACCACTGACCCCTCAAAGGAAGTCAAGGTGTGTGTTATCCCATCCTCCCCCAGGGGCTGCATGAGGAGGAGTCAGCAAACTTCCCAGAAGCTGGAGAGTCCACGGAGCAGCAGTGCTGAACTGTCTGCACTGAGAGCACAGCCGCTCCCACAGCTGGCCTCTCCAGGAACGTGTGCTGGGATGGGTTTGGGTGGCAGTGGTTGGTGGAGGGACCCAAGAGAAGCCGGAACGGGAGAGAAAAATTGAGATGGGGCCAGGGAGGCCACGAGCAGGCATCAGGCAGGAAGCAAACCCAAGCAGGCTGACTTTGGCTCTAGACGCAGTGTAGGCCACACACAGAGTTGTCCCACTTGGGGGCCAGGCAGCTGGGCAGCCCTCAGTCATGGGTGAGGGCTGGGCCCTGGGCAACACACATTCCTGGGCACTCCTGCCTCACCCTGTGTAGACATGGGGGCTCCAGTGGCCTGTCACCTTTCTCCATCTGGAGAGCTGGAACTGGAAGTGTCAGCACCCAGAGGCCCATGCACAGGAAAATGGTGCAGACACATGGGCAGAGGGGACAGGACACTCCCAGATGGGACACACAGAGGCAGGAACCATCCTGGGATGGAGCAGACCTACGGTTGGCAGGTGCCACAACAGCACCCGGGAGGGGTGGGTGTCAGTGCCAGGTCCCACTGCAGCCCACTGACCCCTGGAAGCCATAACAAACACCTGGCCGCTTCTCTTCAGAACAACATTGGATAAGGCTTCTTGTTACAAACTGTATTTTTTTAATATTCATCATTCCATTTTCTATTTATAAAACCCAGCAAGTAGGCAGTGTTATCAACCCTGGCCGTGCTGATGAGCAAACTGATACTCAAGAGAGTGGACATGCTTGATCACACATGAAGGGACCACAGGGCTCAGCTCAGGCCCCTGGCCCTGACAGCTGTGCTCTCCACTGGGCCATGGCACTTCCTAATTTGTCCTGGGCAGCCCAGCCGTGGAGGCCTCTGCAACTGCCTGAACAGCCACAAAACGAGACAGGCAAAATGCCAGGGAACCAAACGCGGGAAAGAATCTCTAGGGAACTGGCTATTCCCTCCACCCCTAAAAAAGGCCTGAGAAAGAATTCCTTATCACATTGCAGTGAGGTGACCAGCTGCAGTATGGAGAGGTGTAGGGAGCTGGGAGGTGTATTAGATGAGCTTAACCTGCCAATATCCCTATTGAGAGGGTAACGGGCCCATTTTACAGGGGAGAAGACTGAGGTCAGAGAGGATGAGTTGTTAGTTGTCTGCGTCACACAGTGGTAAAGGCTGGCACTGGGATTTAAGCCCAGACCCATAGAGCAGAAATACGTGCTCCTCTCTGTAACACCCAAGATCGGCAGTCCCCCACAAAGCTGAGCATCCCTTATATTCAGGCACTGGTGCTTAATGTACTGAAAACATGCATTTCAATATTGTCAAAGGTTCAAATATTGCCAGAGAACAGAAGGCAGTGGACAGTTAATTATTAATAGCAAAAGCAATAAGAAATCGAAAATTAGCTGGCAGAGTTTCTAAACATTGCAACAATTTGATGACACCTGGAGACATTCTCTTTCTTCTAGGCAACAGCTGTGTTGTCTCTTCCAAGGAGAAAGTTCACTAATTCCCCTAAAAGTCAAGGTAAGAGCCACCTGCTCTCCTCACCCCCATAGACCTGGGAAATGACCAATTGCGTTCTGTGAATTTCATTGTCATATGGAACACCTCTTGTGTCCTGACTCCTGCACCCCTCGGGCCACCCTCAGTGCCCAAGGAGTTAGTGTTCTGGACAACAGGAATCTGATGCTTTAAGCCTACAAAGTTGGTGGTGGGAGTGTCGCCACCCTTCTCCATATAAATTGTCCTAATGCAATACACATCTCCTGGCCCTCTCGAGCAAAGTACAGGAAATCATTCAGCCTCAAAGGCTTTGGTGGTGACTAGGACATCAACTTTGTCCTGGACAAATGAGATGTGAGGCCAACCAGCGCCCCCACACCTGGCCAGGCTGTGAGGGGCTCGCTTGTGGCCCAACCACCGCTCACCAGAGGCCAGCAGCTCCTCTCACTATGCAGAGCCCAGCCTGTCTGCTTGCTGACAGCCATCTCAGGCCCTCCTGGTACCCCTGTGTCTGAGCTGTGCCTTTTAGCCCCTTAATTCAGACCCTGCCACAGCCCTGGCCCTAGCAGGCAGGGCTTCATGTCCCTCCTCCCCTCCCAGACAGTCCTTGGCTCCCACCTGCCTGCAGACCAAGTGGGGTTTCTCAGCAGAGGCTTGCAGACTCAGACCATTTGTCCACACGCTGGAGCCCAGCCTGCCTCCTGCTCCTCCCACCCAGGGGGCACCTTCCTTTCCGTGGGATGACATGAGTCTCCAGCAGACACTGGGTCCAGAACAAGCCTCACAAGCCCATCACTCAGCACCTAGGCCTGGGCCCGGCCTCCTGCCCAGAACACACATGACTCCCCCTGTGCACACCTCTGTCTTGTTTGGGGTAAGTTCATGATTAACAAATCACCTCCCTTATTCTTTTTCCCAAAGGAAAAGATGACGATTCTTTTGATCGGAAATCAGTGTACCGCGGCTCCCTGACACAGAGAAACCCCAACGGGAGGAAGGGGATGGCCAACCACGTCTTTGCGGTAATGTTTCTTCTCGTTCTCTGAGGATCCCTTAAAATTCCATGACCTGTAAGATTTACACGTAGGTTTTAAGTCTTCTGAGTAACGAAAATTGGGGGAAATGAACAAGGATTAAAGCCAGAGATTTGAAAAAGTAAAGCAAAATCTTTCCAGTAGGGACTTGAAAATCTAAATGCCTGAAACAAGAATAATGCCCTCTTGGGCTTTAGAGCTTTAGACATCCCTCCCTACATCCCATGGGTGAGGGCCACTATCACCCACCCACATTCATAGCTGGGGACCAGGCAAGTTAAGTTAAAAATCCCAGGGTGGGAGGTGTTGACTAAAGCTTTGACAAACACAAGCATTTGGCCAATGTGTCTGTGTGTGCATGGGCTGAGTGCACCCTCCAGGTCTATCTGTGCATATGTTCCTGTGTGCACACCCGTTTGTATGTGTCTGTGTGCACATCCATATGAGCTAAGTTTGTATTTACCTGTGTGCACACCCATCTCAGCGTGCTTATGTGTGTGTGTGTGTCTGTGCTTCGCAGAAACCCGTGATGGCTCACCAGCACTAACGGGGGAGGCTCAGGGCAGAGCAACAGGGCAGCCCTGTGCTGTTTGCCCCCACCATGGCCGGCTGCCGTGTCCCTCGTTGGCTCTGCACTTCCTGATACACGTGGGCACCTTCCGGTGAGAAACAAGGAGCACCCGCCTCCACCTGCAAGATGACGGCGGCCCTCAGTTCTTCACTGTTCACCCAGGCTCACTGGCGACTTCCAAGGCCACCTCGTCAGCCCCTCAGATACGTGATAAACAGCTGAGCTGCTGTGACTTCAAGACAATGCTGGCTGAACTTTTTGAAGGACACAGAAGATCTTCTCCACCTCGATCTCGTCTCCCCTTCACTCTTGGCTTTCTTCTGTTGCTTTCATGAATGGAATGGAAAAGAGATGACTCACAACGGACGAGCTGTGTGTGTGTTCCTGACTGTCACAACTGAGTGTGGGCAGCTGTGTGTGGGCATGATTGGAAGTCAGGTATCAAGACAGTCACTCAGCTAACAACCAGCTGAGTAATGAGGGAAGAGCAGACAACCCTGTCCTCCACTCCACAGACAACCCTTCTGCAAGTACCCCTGCAGTCCACAGACCAGAAGTTACATTGCAGCCAAGGGCAGAGAGCACGTGTGTGGTCGCAAGTGAGCATGTGATCGGTGCCCAGAAGCAGGTGCAGAGGGTCTGCCGGGAGAGGGAGCTGATGGGGCTCTGGACAGGCAGGCGGAAGACCTGGGTCCAGCCCAGCTCTGCCTCTTCACACATGGATCCAGTGGGACAGAGGACAGAAGTCCAAGGGTTGGGGGGAGGCAGAGATCAGCCAGCCACTTGCCACTGGTTCCACAGATGATCTCTGAGCACTCCCCCTCAGACAGCCTGGGTCTCAGAGCTATTTCTGGATGTCTGTTCTGCTTGTCTAGTTTTAAAGGGAGCCCACAGGGAGTCTCCAGAGCGGTCTTTGAACATCATAGCGGTAATCACCTCTCACCTTCACTGAGGTTCACCCCACACGGGGTCCAGGGGCTGCAAAGGCAGGGGTGTGGGAGTCTACCTCCTTCAGAATCAAACAGGTAGCGGAAACAAGGGTCAGGTCTTGTGTCTCAGCCTGCCTTCTCTGAGTTTGATGCCTCAATCAAAATTAAAGCTAAGGGTTCAGCGCCTGTAGCTCAGCAGCTAGGGCGTCAGCCACATACACCGAAGCTCATGGGTTCGAACCCAGCCCGGAGCTGCCAAACAACAATGACAACTACAACCAAAAACTTGCCAGGCGTTGTGGTGGGCACCTATAGTCCTAGCTACTTGGGAGGCTGAGGCAAGAGAATCACTTAAGCCCAAGAGTTGGAGGTTGCTGTGAGCTGTGACGCCACAGCACTCTATGAGGGCAACATAGTGAGGCTCTGTCTTAAAAAAAAAAAAATTAAAGCTAAGGTTCAAATCCCAAGTGCTTTGCTGGGCACCAGGAACACCCACATCGTCAAGAAACAGGAGCACGCAGTAACAACTGCTTTTCTGATTCCTTGTAGCATCAAATAAGAAGGTGGAGACATTTTTATATACTACCCAGCTGGAATTATAAATTCCATTCTTTGAAAGAATTCCTCAGCGTTCCTTTCCTAGCAGATGGGTATTTAGAAGTGTCCTCTAGGAAGCTCCAGGTGACAGGTCAGAGCCCACCGAGGCTGTGTGTACAGAGCAGTGCAGCTGCTGCTCCTGCTTTCCAGCCAAAGATTGACAGAAGTCAGGGGTTTCACTGTGACTCCAGATGGAGATAGAGACAAGGATTTAAAAGATTTCTCTGCAGTCTTATCCAATGTGTCCAACACGTTCCAGTCCTGCCCCCCCCCCCTTCACCAAGGACTCCTGGCCTCACTGCACGTTATTGGAGCAGGGCACAGTTTGACAGGCTGTGTCTCCCAGGTCTCATCAGGGATCAAGCCAGCCGTGCATTACAGTGTTGCAGTGGTTACCATGATTTTACATCAAGCCATTGCTTCAGTAAGTTCCAAGGGCTTTAACTTTCCAGCAGCTCCCTGCAGAACATCCTGCCTTCCTGGGGGCCAAATAATCCATCCTCAAAGATGTAATGGGATTGTGACATGCTGGACTTCTGAGACCCCAGCTCCCTGCACTCAGCATGTGGGTGGAAACTAGTAACTTTCCGCGCTCCCACCCCAGAGTTATTACATATGAAAAATCTTCTTACTTTATTGGGATAAAACAGAAAAGATAGATATGCAAAAGGAAAGAAGATAAACAAAAGAAGTCACAATTATCTACCAACCAGCAAGCACTGTGAAGTCCCTCCAGACACTCATCACCCATAGGAGGAAGGGAAGGCCCATTCCAAATCTGACCTCACACGCACAGCTTCTCAGGAGGGGAGCTGCCACAGAGACGGGTGTTTTGCGTGCTTCTCCCTGAAAACATCCACAGCAAAATCTTCCCAGAGGCAGCTTCACTGGCACGTGAACAAACAACTTCTCAGGTACTTTGGTGGCCACACCTGTAGTTCAGCAGCATCCAGGCTGAAGTCCCTAAGGAAGCGGTCATGCTGGGGAAGGAATATTTTGCTGCCTCACTGCCAGTGCTTATAATTTCATATGTCAATTGGGTTCTGCTGTGAGTACCTAGATGTCTGGTGAGACACAGCTGACATGTTGCTGGGAGGGTATAGTTTAAATGTGATTAACAACTGCATCAGTCAACTGCAAGTAGAATGACCTGCTGTGATGTGGGTGGGCTTTACCCAATCAGTTGATGTGTCTGGGGGAAGAAGGCCTCCAGTCTTCTTCCGCCCCCAGAAGCCTCCAAACACCAGCTGCAGCATGAGCTGCACCCCGCCTCCCTGCAGGACTCAGGCTCCCCAACCCCCACCACCTCATAAGCCAATCTCTGAGAATAAGTCTCTCTGCATCCTCTCTCTGTGTGCGTACACTCTCTCAATTCTGTTTCTCAACACACACTGCCTATAAAAGAGCCTTGTGTGGTGTCTTGCATGGCACTGTGTTTGAAGCTTGGAAACTGGTGACATGGGAGCCACATGAGAGGGTTGGGGACACCATTTCCTTTGAACACAAATTCAATGACAAATCCCCAGGGCCATAGCCTCCTGGGACAGGAAGAGACTCCTACTGCAGTTCCTCTCTCCCTAAGACCTCAGTTTCCAGATGACTCATCCTTCAAAAACCACTTTCTAATTTACCAAGGAGAGGGCTTTTAAAATTTGTCGCTAATTTGGATTTTCAGAAGACATCTGTGTCAGCAACAGCTTTGCCACTAACTGCACGTCCTCCTGTTGTGGCTGCTTCCCAGTCCCCAGGTCCCTTCTTCCCTGTCAGGTAGCTCAGCGTCTTTCTGGGAGTCCAGAAGAATCCTGTGTTTGGGACGCGCACTGGTCAGAGCCACAGGCTCTAGCTTCTTCCAGGAACAAGGACTGGGAAGAAATATTCCATCAGTTCACTCACACACAGATTCCTGGAGCCCCAGATTAGTTTCCTGGGGCTGCTGTAATAATGTACCACGAACTGGGTGGGTCACAACAGAAATTTATTCTCTCCTAGTTCTAGAGGCTGCACATCCAAAGCCAGGGTGTGAGCAGGGCTGTTCCACCTGAGGGTTCTGGGGCAGGAGCCCTCACCTCCGCCAGCTGTTGGGGGCAATCCTTGGAGTCCCTGGCTTGCATCACCCCGATCTCTGCCTCCATCTTCACAAGGCCTTTTGCTCGTGTAGAGAAAAAAATACAATCTCTTCCCTCACAGCTTCTTAGTTGAGACACTCTCCTGAAAACTAAAGCCAGACTGACAAGAGAAAAAGCAGCAGGAGTTTCTCAACCCCAGTTGTGCCCATCATGGGGAGAGGCCCCGGTGTACAGTGCTTCTCCCCCAGGACACTGGCGTAGGGGCCTTGCTTATGTACCATTTCAACCATCCTATATGGTGACCAGACAAAGAAAAGGCCATCCTTGGGCTTCCAAAAGCTAGATGGGAAGGTAAATCATAGGAAGAGTAAAGTCTGCTCAGGGATGGTCTGGCGGCTGCCTCTGGGCCGAGTGTCCCTGGTGTTTTCACCTTCTTCAGCTCAACAATGCCTCATGTCCCAGAGAGGAATATTTTGGCTTCCTTTGTGTCTCTGTATATCTGTTCTCTTCTTAAAAGGACACAAGTCATTGGACTTTGGGGCCACCTTAATGGTAACTGACCACACACAGAGACCCTGCTTCCAAACCAGGTCATGTTCTGAGGTTCTAGATGGAATCTATTCCACCCACTAAAGAGCAAGATGACGGTCTAAGAACCCCAACCCAACAAAGCCGCCCACCTTGGTACCACTGCTGCTTACCGGGCACCTGCTATGTGCTGCAAAGTTGCCGTGCTGAGAGTCGAGGCCCAAAGCCCTGAAAACTGGGACATGCTCCCTCAAGAGCAGGGTCCTTCCCGGCTCACACGAGGGCTCCTCAGGGGCACCTCTTCCATTGGGGCTCCTTCCACTGCCAGAGGCAGAAACCCACTCACACCAGCCTGAGGGAAACCCAGCAATCCAGGCGCCGAGGCGGTACTCACCCCACCACCACCGCCTCACCCACTCTTCTTTGCCCTGTGACTGTAACTGCCCCTTGGACCTTTCTGCCCCAACTCTCTGGGACTGCTCTCCACCAGTGGCCACAGCTTATTGTTCCAGACACCCAAGAGACCAAGAGCAAGGCCCTGTGTGTCCTAGGTGCTGGCCAGCCTAGAGGTGGCCCACGCCAGAAAAGAGGTGCCCATGCCTGGATGAGCAAGGGAACAGGTCACTCTGTCCCATTATATGGCCCAGTGATCCCACATGGCTCTCCCATTTCACACAGCAGGTTTCAGAAACAGGCGTGAGTCACTCCACAAGGGCATACGTAACATACACACTGTGGGAAAGGGGACCTCAAACCTTAGACACCCCCTCAGCATAAGCAAGGCTATTTTAGTGAAGGCCATTTAGAGGAATTGGGCCTAGAAGTCAAATGAACTGAGACAAAGGTCAAATCACAGACAGTGGCCAAGCTGGGGGGGAGGGGGGTTGTCCAGAGGATGAACCACAGAACAATGGTTAGCGCCCCACACCCCTCTCTCCTGGAATGTTGTGGAGTGTGGACTGTCCACCCTGGCTGGCAGCCCCTCCCCTGGCTACTCCCCACCCACATTCTTGTTAAACCTGTAAGTTTGATAAAGAGGCCCGGAACCGGGAGGGGCCCATCTGATCTGGTTCGGACCCCACTTTTGTTCTTTTCCTTAACAAACTCCCCTTTGCCTGTGGACAGGCCTCCTCTTCTTTCCGCAAACTACCACCCCATTTCTAGCCCACACCCACCTGTTGGGTGATGTTCTTTCTCGTGGGGAGAGAAGGACGGCTTGGCCGCGGGTGCAAGCTCACTCCTAGAATTGTTTAAAAGCAAGAAACAGCTACACACTCTTAGGTGGCATGTAGCAAAATGTCTTTATTTTCTACTCCCTTTTATTGGGAGCTAGTCAGTACACCACATTGATCGATAATCCTAACATCCTCATTTCTTATCTTAAACTATAGAAAAGAAAGAAAGTCCGGGAATGTGAGATAGCCATCATAAGATTAGCCTAAAGAAAGAAAGTCCGGGAAAGTAAGACAACCATCTTAAGCTAGCCTCAGGCTATTCCTCTTGGAAGACCTAAAGAACAATACATTATCTGACTTCTATTGTTAAAGTTAAAGGTTAGGATAAACAGAGGAGTAAAACCTTTCTCTTC